CTGTGCAACCTGACATTTAGTCGTGCACGCCGGGCTGCCCTCTCTCCAGGCTCCCCGTTTTCTTTCTCTTTTGTCCTGATCTTCTCCAACTTAAATGGAAGAATAAGGGTTGGGAGGATCCACCAGTCACTTGTTGGGGGAAGTAGTGTATGATGGGGTGAAGCCAGGCCCCTTTCAGCTCTGTTTCTCGTTCTCCCTGGCTGTGTGCACAGCTGAATGTGTCTGGCAAGTAGAACCAGCCCAAAGGGCAGAACCCATTTGGCATTGCTGAGCTCAGGTGCTGAGAACCTCACCTTTGACAGTGGAGACCCACCAACCTGGGAGTAGGGAACTGCCATCTCTCACGAAAGATGCTTAATACAAATGAGTTGCTTAAATGAAGCCAGTAGCTTCATTGCAACAAGCAGAAATAGAGATACTTATAGAATAACACCCTGACACTAAATGTTAGGGCATAACTCTGACTCAACATCTTTTAAGTTTTCTTGGACTAAAAATTAAAGATGGTGTTGGCATTTACTCTTATTGACTATATTTCATTTGGGGGGCTTATGTAAAACACATGTTGCAAAGAATGGTTATTGCCTCTAAAGAGCTATGGTTATTGTCTTAGAAGATGCTGTCAGGGTAAAGGCATTGCTGGTTAGTCCATGAGTCTGTTCCCCTCACCCCAGCACAGTCAGGAGATGTAGGAAGAGCACACGCTGCAGCAAATGTTTCTTTCTTTCTCTGCTATATATGCATAATGTTTTATTAGGGTGGCCCATCAACACGAATCTCAAATCGCTCTTCTCAGCCTACAAGTGGAAGTCAAAAATATACAGAGAGCAAGATTTAAAGGAGCAGAAATAGTTGGATTCCCAGATAAGAACCTTCCTCCAAGAACCCAGGTGTTCCGGGTTCAACTCGCTGAGACTCGTACGCGCCAGGTAAAGCACAAAGGGATACAAAAATGAGTAAAACAAGAATTCCTGCCTTGGATAAGCTTTCTGGGATTGACAGAGATCTACAACGTAGACAGAAAGTAGTTCTAGAAAAATAGTGGGCACGGCTTCTCGCACCTGCTAGTGCTGAGCCCTTTGGCTCCAGCCACCTGCGTCCTGCAGACTCACTTGTGTGAGGCTGTTTTCTGCTCCTGTGTCCACGCTGAGGGGCTTCTGCTTGGTTCTTCTTGATAATCAGTTCCACTCATGAAAAAGCTACTTGTGAATCCCAGGTGGGGGATCCTCAGGCTAGTTTTCCTAATATCCCCTTATTCCCTGAGCTTTCCCACCATGGCAAAAAAAAAAAAAAAAAAAAAAAAGGAAAAAAATGTTCAAATAAGCTGTACCACGTTCCTCTGCTCTGTATAACATTCACTTCCAACCCTAAGGTAATTTCCTTCCAACCAGAAGCAAAGTTTTCTCAGTAACTAAGTTATGATTTAATTAACTTTCCCTTTATGCTTTTACAGCTTGCTGGGGCCCAGGTCTCTTTTAAAAGAATTTTCTTCTGGCTATCGCAAAACATAGTTTGAACCTAAAAAGAATTTCATGGGTATTTGTGGGGTGGTCTCTTCCCTTGGGCTTTGCAATGTGTTTCTCTTGGTCTGTGTGCCTGGCACTGAGCTGCCCTGCCACAAGGCATGGTCATGTGACATGCTGACGTTCCTGCTGGCCCTGGGCCCTCATCCTAGGTGACTTGATTAATGTTGTCTTTCGTGGTTTTTCATGGTCAGGAAACTGCAGGCACCAAGTACCCTCTCAGACACTTGGGCTCAATCACCCTGTGTTAGAACATCAGTCTTTGAGACAGTTGTCCCTGAGCACAGCAAGCATAGTCCTGTGTCACTTCTGTTGGCCTTCCCCGTGGTGAGGTGGTGGCCATATGTCCCTGGGAACCCAAACGTCCCTTCTTCCAGCTCTTAAGCACTGTCAGAATGCCTCTTACCAATTCCATATCTGCCCTGTGTCATGTGGTTTCCCTCCTGTTTCTCCTTTTAATGTCAGGCTATGCCCAGTGATTGACAATTATAATTATTCCTCAGAGAGCCTCCTATTAATAACAGCCATTGATCTGACTCAGATGATCCCAAGCATCTTTATTTCCTATCCTCAAATACAAGCTTTTAGCTCCTCCAGGCTTGAATTCTGCAGCTCACGAAGGAGAACTAAGACCAGGTTTCAAAATAATAGGTAACCCTGCTCTCCATCTCAGCTCCGATGCAGAGCCCCCTCTCCTCAATAGATTTTCCCCCTCTTCTTGATCAACATATTATTATTTTTAAAAATCCATTTTGACTTTCCCTCGCCAGCAAAGGCCTTCCATCCCCCCCGCCGCACAGCGGGGGCTCTTTCAGACTCGCTCAGATTGGTGGGTGGAGGAGACCACAATTATACCCCCTCTCAATGACATGTCTGGGGTTGCAGTGACTCCAGACAAAGAAGCTGAAATGTATGAAAGTTTCTGTGTCTTCAAGACAGAACCTAAAAATACCTGCCTGAGATGCAGGTTGGGAGCTATTTCCAACAACAGGGCTCCAAGGTTTTCCTGCTGGGAGCTTGAGAGCTTCTGAATTCTTTTCAGCAGGCTGTCTAGATACCTGGTGATCAGGGGAGTGACGACAAAGACCAACGTGGAGGGGCAGGAGGCTCCCCCAGAAGCACCTTAGCCCCCCCCCCCCCCCGTTCCCACCCCGCTGTGCCCGCCGCAGGCTTCCTCAGGTCTGCTCCAAGCCCTTCCAAGCAGCCAGGGCCGCAGCCCGCGCGGGCAGCCTCCTTAGCGACCAGCGCCGTTGCTATCGGTCCTATGCCATGCAGACCGCTTTGTCACAGGGAGATTCAAGAAGAGGGGAATGTGACCCGGAAGGAAGGGACCTTAGAGATTTTGAAGTCACTCTTTTGCCTGATGCTTGAGTTATCTCTGAAATAGCCCCCCACTCATTGGTCATACAGCCTCACTTTCATACTTGATTTGATGGGGAGCTTACCACCTACAGAGGCGCCCCACCACTCTGCCTTTGGACAATCTCCTTTTAAAACACTCTTCTTTGTTCTGGAGTCAAAATTGGCCAGTCTCTAACATGGGATGGGGACCACAGAGAGTTCATCTCATTTCTACTCTATGTTTTAGCTTTTTAGCTACTTGGGGACATTGTTGACATGTTCCACAAAGCTGTCTCTGTTTCCTTCAACCTCTCCTTCCCTGACCTTGAATCTAACCCCATGTGGCCTTACTCCTGTGGGAAATCCACTGAGACCTTCTCAATTGTGGCACAAAGGGCATAGTTTCTGATTTGCTCACCTAAGAGGGAACATTTTAACAGCGTGAATGAGGGTGGAGTTTTGCCATGGGACTCGGGGATAAACCCCTTCAACCTGAATTCTCTGGGACATCCAGAGGTCAGCTGGGCTAACTTAGTCTGGTGTTGAAATGCTGACTTTGAAATCTACACCTGGACTATGCTGAGGAGCATCTCTTAGCTCTTTGTGGGGTGCAAGGTCAGCCTCTTGGTTCTAGAAAAACTCAGTCTGGCAGTGGCTGGGCCCTTCCAGAAAGGTGAGGAAGAGGCTCCTGCTTGGCTGGACCAACTGTGAGTGCAGAAACACTTATTAGAGTGGAGAACAGAGGGACTCATACTCATTTAGAGCCTTTCATTATTTCTTGAAAAGGATATAAAATGCAGGAACCACCTTATAAAGAAGGGGAGGTAATTGTACCAGAAAACCCGGGTTAGGAAAAGCTATACAGTTTTGTATAAAAATTATTTCCGTTTTTACTTTGTTACTTCAACTATATTTTTAAAATTCAAAAGCTCTCAAATCTAGAAGGAAGTTTGAAAACAAAACATAATGAATAACAACATATCTTCATCCAGATTCATCAGTTGCTACCATCTTACAACAAACTACACCTTTCTCTCCCCCTCTCTCTTTATAAACACACACACACACACACACACACACACACACATCATCCCAATAGTCACATCCTCCACACCCGCCACTAAATGGTTTATCCGGTGTCATCCAAGGAGAAGGACATTCTCCCCCTCAACCAGAACACCATCATCATATGGAAGAAGATGATTAATTTAATAATGTCAGCCAACATGCAGTCCATACTCAAATTTTAAAATTTTTTTTTTAAAAAAAGTCCTTCAATGTTTTTTCCAATCCAGAATTCAATCAAATTCCTTGCGTGTCACTGGTCGTTGCGTGTTTGTCTCCCCAGCCCAGGTGAGCCCCGTCCGCTCCCTCTGGGCTTCACCCCACTGTGCCCTTCCAAGAGCCCAGACGGGGCTCTGCAGAACGGGCCACATTCTGGATTTGTCTGACCATCTCCTCACAGTGACATTCCGGTTAAACGTTTCTTGCCAGACACAGTTCCCTCCCACGGCCGGAGTTGTTTTGGTTTGGTTCAGGGCTCCCCTGAAGCCTGCTCTCCCTGTCCCGCCAGCACAGCAGCGGGGTGACCGCGTCACCCACAGCCCGGCACCCAGTCGGGAGCGGAGAGAGGGTGGCTGCTGGCGGGCAGTTCCGACAGAACTGAGAGGACTTTGGAAGGAGGGCTTATGGGACGACTTTACATGGGTTGTACCACATACGTGTTTACAGACAGAGGAACTCCAAATTATCTGGTCTGATTTTAGTCATGCTTAAGTGTAAAACAAGAGTGGACTGCGGTATTTTACGTATGACATGAACATGTCTTATAAAAATCCCATAAGTCTTAGAGATGTTGAGCAAAACTAAAACATCCTCATGATCGTCCAAGTCTGCCCGTGTGACCATGACAACTGCTTGCCACTCGGTTCCTCAGCATCTCTCCAGTGGTTTGGGGAAGCTCGTGGTGGGTGGTGTCCGCCAGGTGCACTGCCGGGACTCCACGCACGGGCTCCTCTGTTCTGGCTCTATTGTCATGACGTGGCCACAGCTGCCGCTAGGAGGCCCCCACTCCCCTGAGCGCCCTGCCCTCAGTTGTGAGCTGTCACCTGTCTCTGAATCAGCCCAGCCCATGAATGCCCCTCACAGAGTCTCTCGGGAAGACAGTTTCTGGTTTTAACCACCTCTCTGGGAGGGCTGCAAATCAGCTCTCTGGGGCATGTAAGCATGTGGGTGGAGCGGGTGGTGGGCACACTTTCAGACCTCGTTTTCCTCCAGTCTCCTGTGTGTGTTCCCGTGCCCATCCATTCTTGGACTCGGAGCTTCTCCGTGCTGCTCTAGCACCATGCTCTCCCCAGACACTGAATCACGCATGTAGCCACCTGGAGGGCAGCGTCCCACTCACCTGTGACCTGGGCTCAGCTCCGGCACAGCCAAGGCAAGCTGACCAAGACCAGCGTTTCACTAGGTGTGTTCATTAGAAACCATTTCCTCTGCACCAATACCCACCTCTCTATAGCTAGAGACATAGATAAGATATAGATGTAAATTAAAATATGCATTTAATATATGACTCTACATTTAGAGATCTAATATGGTCAAAGATGTTGGGGATTGTTGTGTTGAATATAATTGAATGCGTTTTTTATTGTTTGTTTTTGCAGATGCTTTAAACAGAATGATGTGCATCGTGAATCTCTAAGAAAGGGTTATGGCTGCAGCATTTCTCTGCTTACTGGATCAAGGACCCTTATTTCTTGGAGGAGTTTGTGGAGCTACTGCCCACACCTGCGTGAGGAGCATGACTTGCTTTAGGAGTTCTGATTGGAGAGGATCTCTGCGAAGAGCTCTGGCTGCCGGGAGGTGTGGGTTAGTGTCTTGTGCCACCCCACTGGCTTCTGAAGCTGAAAGAATAATTAGCAGGAGAGTGAACTGTCTTTTATTTAGAATTTAAAAACAACTTCAGGGTGTGTTTGCCCAATAGGTTCTGCCCTGCTTTTAAGTCACGAGTAAAGAAAACTGTTTGTACTTTATGTTTTTATTTTGGGATCTTGCACCAAAGAGCCGAGGGAGATCTCTGTTGTTCCATCAAAGGTATAATAAAGTTCCACTCTGATTCACCCTGGATTCATGATTCCTTTATGGGCACCACTAGTGATAACCACTACGGAGGCCATGGAAGGACACGAGTCTTATTCTCTTTCTGCAATGTTATAATTGAAATATAAATAGAAGCATAATTCTGGATTTACTGCCTGTCCTTTCTCATCAGTCACCATTCTTTAAGCTTGCCAACAGAATAATTCTGAAAGTGCTAAGTCCTTCCCCTCAAATCTCTCCCTGACAATATCCGGAGGGACTTTAGGAAGTGCAGTAATATTCGAGTTCTATGTAAAATTCCTTCTCCAGGAAAACACGGAGACGGTGGCTGGGGTATCGGTTGCTCGCAGTCTAAACATTCCCTGCAGTCTTAATTAACCACATTTGCTCTCCTCTCGCTCCAGGCTGAGTCAGCCCAGCCATGACTGAAGCCGGTTACCGTCCTGTGTGATCGCGTGATGTGTGACTACATCTTGGCCCGTGATAAACGATGGCGTCTCTTGACCCGCAAGAGTTTGTAACCTTTTTTTCAGGGTATGTTGAGTCATTACTATTGCCACTGATCAATGGATGTCTGGTGCTATTGTTGGAAGAAAGAAAGAAAGAAAGAAGACGAGGAGAGAGAGAGAGAGACAGAGAGAGAGAGAGAGAGACAGAGAGAGAGAGAGAGAGAGAGAGAGAGAGAGAGAGAAAAGATCAGTGGCTCCCAGTAAACTTCCCTGACCCTTCCAGGCAGGACTGAAGGATTTGTGCCTCGTCATACTTTCCACGGATAAGCCCGTGTTTGCGTGTTCATCCTGTCGAGGCGATCAGCATGCTAAGGTGGTAATTGCACGCCTGGGTTTGACACACTGATTGCCAAGCTAGAAAAGAATTTTTTTCCCCCTTGGGACCACTGTGTTTAATTGCAAAAATATTATGGAATACAAACTTTGAAAACAAAACGATCCTTTCTAATTTAATGAAAAATTTGTTATTTTTTATTGTTTTTTTGTGCATGAGTTACATGCAACTTGAAAAATAGTTTACTCACCTCCCAAGGTAAAGAGAGGTGAGTTACATGTGCTTCACGATGCCCCAGGCTCAAAACTAGCGTGAGTTAAATGCAACTCAGATGGCCACGCATGTGTTAAATCAGGATTCAGCCCTTCTCAATCAGCCCTGTGAATGCGAACGCGAGCAAGCTGTGGAAACTTGTGACTTTGCTGGGTCCTGACTGTCTGCTGGCCCTGCCCTAATCTCTCTGCACGTATTCACTCATTGCACCCTTTCTAGAACTTTATACGCAGATACTTCGCCCGTTTTACAACCGAGGCCACGTAACTCCCCTAGGTTGACGTGTGCGTTTGCTCGTGAGAGTGCAATGAGATAATCGGTGTCGGGCCCTAGCACAGTGCGTGGCTCATGGCAAGCACACCAAATCTTAATTTTTATCTATTATTTCTTAGGGTAGAGTTTCCATCATTTCAGAATGTGTTAGGTTTTATTTATTTTATGTCTAAATGCTTTAGACATACTAACTCATTCAACTGTGTGGACTAGGTATAGTTTTCATACCCATTTACTAGATGGGGAAAGTGAGGCTCAGAGAGGTAAGAGATCTGTCCAGCGTCACACAATTTAGAGGTGAAGACGAAAATTCTGACTCAGAGACCACAATCTTAATCTTTGTGCCACAGTGTCCCTATTATTGTAGTTTAAGTGTCTGTGGGGACTCGTTTGCCTATGTCCTCCTTTATCCAGGACAGGGACTGTCTCATAGTCTGTTGGTGGTCGGTCCCTGTGAGCCTGTGCCCCACCCCACCCCACCTCCACTGCCCAGAACTCGGAGGTTGTGGGTGAATTTGTTGTTGAATAAATATATACGCCATAATAATAGGTGACACATGACTCGATGAAGAACTTATTAGAAGACTTGTAGGGGTGGGAAATGCTGGGTGCTCCTCTCTCCTTGGCATTTCTTCTCCGTTGCTGATGTCCAGGCCTCGGGTCTGCAGAGCACAGCCACGAAAAGGAACTCAGAGCAGAGGGGTGGCCCTAATGGCAGGGGACTGTTGTTTCCTAAAGCTGTTCCTAACTTCGACATCTGTTGAACGCACAGAGCATCTTTAGCATAAGCAGACTGAGAAAGTTGTCCAAGTCTACAGTACCCAAACCACTCGTCTCACTTTATTCTAAAACCCTGCATATTGTCGTTTATTTTTGGTTTCTCTTTGGCTTTTAATGCTCAAAAGTCTGCCATCATGTTGAGACAGTGGTACCAACCACGCCATAAAATTTGTCTTTGATGCCAACGGCAGACAGATATTGCTGTTTTTATTGGAGGGGGGGACACTTGGCATCACTAGGAAGTCACTGTGTGTTCAGTGGCAGTGGCTTAAGTTCCCTCTGGCTGTCTGCTGCTCAAATCCCCAAGCTCCACAGAATAGCATCAGAAACAATAAAAGAAAAAAAAAAAGAAAGAAAGAAAAGCACAGGACAATAAAAAAGGCATCCAGAAAGATTTTCATAAATGCAACAGTACTTTTATAAAAAAAAAAAGCAATTTCGTGTCTACTCCAGGTAGACACATAAAAATCTTATGAACAAGTTCAAAGTCTCATTCACAAGGCTTTCATGAAGATTCTTTTAAAAATTTTAAAAGAAAGGACTTGGACGGGAGGAAAGGGGGAGAGATGAGTATTTGGGCTGGGAGAGTTTGGAAATCAGGGAAAACAGTCTTCACATTTGCCCTCCCTGGAAGTGTCAGGAGTCGTGAAGCTCCCGATGTTAGTGGCATCTAGACAGAGGTTCGCCTTGTCACGGGGCTCATTAGTATTCACCATTAATTCATATTTTCAGAGCAACAAAGGAGAAAACAGTAGTACGAAGAATAAGGAAATGTCAAATCCTGGGAGTAACATTTCAGAGCAGTGTTGCAACGAAGGTTAGCGGAGGTTGTGCTGTTTTGAAAGCCAATCCAAACACAGGGAAGCGAAGAAGGCTCACTCTCCTTTTTCTACTTAATGCACAATTCATTCTCTCAGGTCCCAGCCTATCTCTTCTTATCTGGAAAGTTCCTTTCATCCCAGCTTCACCAGCCAAGCCTCCAAGGCCCCTCGGAGAAGCCTCAGTTGATAATAGTGACAGCACACGCTTATGAAGTGCATACTTCGTGCCAGGTGCTTGTGCTTAGGGATTTACAAGGATTATCTCATTTCACTTCCCACCACCCCTATGAGGTCATGCCTACATTATCCCTTATTTTACAGGCAAGGTAACCGAAGACAAAAAGGCTATGTGACTGGCCCGGGGTTACCCAGCTGGTAAATGTCGCAGCTGGGACTCAAACCACGGTCGTCTGGCTCCAGAGCCTGTGCTTTCTCCGGGAACATCAATGGCAGATGGGACGCTGCGACAGACCTGTCCCTCCTGAAGGCCCAGTCACACCCACACTCTTCTCCCGCCTGACGGGAGCTGGTTTGGGTGTTTGGCCATCAAAGCATAGACTGAAAAAAGACCACACATTTAGCATCGTGTTACACTGAGCCTCCTATCCCCCCCAGGGGGTTAGAAAAATAAATAAGCCCAGAGGGGTTTTTCCTCCTGCAAAAATGATAAGTCTGTACTTTCCTTCAATGCGTGGCTATTTATAAGGCTAAAGTGTAAGAAGCTGTATTTTCCACTCCTTCTTCTAAAGTATAGGTATTAATAAGATACGGGGGTTCTCTGTTTCTTTTTTGTCTTTTTGTTTGTTTGTTGTCTAAGCTTATACTGGTGTATGTTTTGACCACTCTTTACACATTTCACTTTTTCTTTACCTTTCCTATCCTCACATTCTTCATTTAGCAAGTCCCAGCAAACCCTGCCTGGTGCTTACGCCACGTCAGGCTCCCCGCTCACCACGGGAGGACACGGATGAACAGAGTACGGTCCCCGCACGTCTAGGTTCCCAGATGTGGAAATTGAAAATCATCATAGAAATTATAGCTAACATTTACTGAGGACTATTTGCCCTTCTGAGCACATCGCCTGTGTGTCTGTTCCTAGTCTTTAGTTAATTACTACTATTCCCATTATATGATGGAAACATCAAGGGGTGGAGAGGTTAAATGACTTGCCTACAGGCTCATAGCTAGCAAGTGGACAGCAAGTATTATAAACTCCGGAATCTTGCTTTAAGGTCTGGGCCCATAACCCCTCTGCTTCCGAAGGAAAATATGCAATTATAATTAGGGAAGAGAGCAATAGATTCTGCCTGCATGGATCAGGCACAGACGAGGTTGATATGGGAACTGGGGCTTTCAGGACAAGAAGTTAACTACGCAGAGAAAACAGACTATGCCCAGCAGGGAATACAGTGCACACAGGGCACGGGGGTCTGAGAAAACAATGCAGGTAAATAATTTACAGAGGTTGAATAATAGAGTAGAGGAGGGGGGGGAGGCACGAGGCTGCATGAGATAAAGTTTGAAAACGCATGTTGTCTTTTGCACAAAAAAATGCCTGGGCTATTTTGTGAGTAATAGGGAGCTATTGAAGACCCTATAAAGAGATGTGCACTCACTGAACTCCCATTAGAGCATTATGTCCATGGCCCCAAATGCAAGTGAAATCAGGGGGTGTGATCCTTTCAGAAAATTCTGTTTAGTATTAGTTTTAATCTTTGAATATCTATTTTTTACTTTCTCTGAAATGTTTTCATATATGGGAAGTGAAGTATAGTTGAGAAAAACCAATCTGGTTTAGGTTGTCAATCTAAACAATATTTTGCACTGTCCAAATTTATAGGTTTGAGTGCAATAATTCTTTGATATATGCTGTTTTGAAAAATGAATCTTTTCCTCCTGCACGTAGACAGCAGCTAAAAGAAAAACAAACTTGCTTAACTGAAGTTCCTGGTCAGTTAGGATACGGTTAATTGAGGCCACACTGAACAAACCGGTGGTGAAACAATTTATCCTGTTGTTTTAAGGTCCTTGATTTGATCTCCATGTGGATCTGTTAGTTTCAGCTAAGGGTTTTCATCTGTTGAGCCAAT